GCTAGATGGCTGGATGGCTAGATGGATGGATGGATGGATGGATGGATAGATGGATGGATGGATGGATGGACGGTTGGATGGACGGATGGATGGATGGATGGATGGATGGATGGATTGGTAGATAGATGAATAGACTGATGGATGGATGGATGGATAGATAGATGGAAAGATGGACGGACAAAATTTATTTGTTTATTTATTTGTTTGGTTGGTTGGTTGTTTTTCAAAACCATATACTTGTACTTTATTATGCCTAGGAGTGAGTGCAGCATTTATGTACAGAACTGTAGGAGTACTTTTGCAACAATGTTTAACAACAAAAACATAATTACACTCTATACATTTTATTCTCCTTATAAAGCAAATGTTCTATCGTCTAAGAGGTTAATTAAAATATGTTATCTTGGATTATTGAGTCACTCACTGTTAGTCATTTTTTAAATTTTTTTATTTTTTTCTTGTATGTTTTCATTTACAGAAGATGCACTGATGTGGCCTGCTGCGTTATCTTTGTCACCGTTATCCTTGGCTACACTGTTCTGGGCACCGCTGGTGAGTTTGCTACACTGCTGCTGATGACATCACACAAATCTGTAATGACAAGTGGAGTTTTCAGCAAAAAATCCTGATTAAATGTGTGCAACACTCAAGTGGTTATAGTTGTTTTTGTTTCTGTCTGTTTTACCTATTTGGCGTTTGCTTCATCAGTTTATTTTCTTTCTGTACTGTTTGTATTTCAGATTTTGTTTCCTCAGTTTATTCACAACTCATGACACATTTTATATTTTAGCTGTTTAATTCACACAAGTGGCCCAGTGAATCATAAATTACTGTATGTGCAAAGAACATCTCGGTGCTGTCACCTAAATAGTGTCTCTGCAGTTTGCTGTCAGTACCGTCATGGCTCAGTTTAGGTATGAAAACGACTCACAAATGATTCAGAAACAATGGAGCCATGACAATGAATGTGCCTACAAACAGGCACTGACAAATCTGCAGCGAGCTAAATACCAGTCTGGTATCCTTACATAGCAATTCTCTTTCATCATCCTCTTTGTGGCATGTGCGTTGTCTCATATTCAGGATGTTTCCTGCTTGTTTACATTGAGGAAATGCACATGTTCAAGTTGTCCTGATGCACACTCTCTTCAGTCTGAAGGAGCATTTAGTAAAAGACAAAAATGTTTCAGCAAAGAAGAACCCCTCCAGAGGACCTGGCTCAACCTTGTTAGACACCTGTTCAGGGTTAAAGTCGTGCTTCGATTTAGATTGAAAAAATATATACCGGTAGTTTTTGTTGTTTTTTGTGTGCAACTTTGCTCCCGTATGAAGCTTCTATTTAAACTCCTACAGTAAATAAGTTTCCGTTGTTTTATTTTTTAGAAATCAGGTTTTATGCAACCATAATACAGTAGTCCCCTGCAATAAGTGAAAACCAGAATGAATCAGAGCTTTTGGGCGGGGGGGGGGGGGGGGGCTGTTGGCTTCTGGGAAATGTAGTCATTATGAGTAGTTACATTGTAGGCTTATTGAGAGAAAACTATAAAATGGCAACACCTATCCGAAGTATTTTGTTTTTCGTTAACTTTTTACTGTACTTTACTGTATCCAGTACTGTCCCAATCACGTGAGTAATATTAAAGTTTACAATCTTGTCCTGTACATTTTATTTTTTTTTTCTCGTGTTCAAACTTACTTTGAAAAACCTGCGATAGAACGAGTCCACGAAAGCCGAACTGCGAAGTAGCGAGGGACTACTGTACTGGACTTGCTTTAATCCAGAATTAAATAAACGATGAAACATTGTGTTTAAACATTTGCATAACCTGTGTAGAGTGGTTATCTGATTTTTTAGACTGACTGAAAGACGTTTGGTTTTTTTTAAATGTTACCAGTTCTGGAAAGATAATTAGCTGGGAGATGACCTAATGCATTTTCTGAAAGAATAAAAAAGTTGCATGGGTATAAATCAGTACGTTTCTTCTCATAGTCAAAATGGTAAAATATTTTCTGATCAAACAAAAGCTGTTTGTTTGTTTGTTTGTTTGTAGCCTGGATCCACGGTGACCTCAGGAAGATTGTCAATCCAACTGACAGTCAGGGTCAGTTTTGTGGCCAGCAGAACACATCAAATGCGTGAGTAGACGGAGTAATTATGTTGTTCATATAATCTGTCCGCTTTGGATTATCTTACTGCTCTAAATAGGCTTTGACCACAGCACAGTACAGAAAGATGATTTGTGATTAATCCTGACAAGTTTCTCTACACACACCAATGTGTCTATATGTGTGTGTGTTTGCTGATAAATCACAGTGCTGTAATGGACTTTTACATCTGTCTAATCTAAATCCCCTCTTTGTCTGGATTGTCTTTGTCTTTAGAAACAAAGCCATATTATTCTACTTCAACATGCTGAAATGTGCCAATCCTGCGGTTTTAATTAACCTCCAGTGCCCTACAACTCAGGTGAGAGACGGAAAGAAGCCCTCCCTCTCAGTACTTTACATTTCTCTTCAGTTTTCCCACCATGCAATGCCGATGGGCGTTTTCACTGAGAGGATATGTTGCCTCCTTTAGCTCTGCGTCTCCAAGTGCCCCGACAGATTTGCGACACTCCTGGATGTGTCGAGTACCAACAACTGGGACTATTACAAGCAATTCTGCAAGCCTGGCTTTAACCCTAGCAGTAAGGTGAGAAATAGGCTGATATTCTTTTTTTTTTAATCAAAACTGTTAAAAACTTAGACGATTTCTTCACGTGTTGTTGCTTTGATGTGTATTTTGTACCTAAAATTTATTTTATAAGATTTCTCTTTGTCAGTGACAGCTATTTTGTCCATAT